TGCCCACCTCGCCTTTCCAGGGGCCCCTGTACCACAGGCACGAGGCTCTGGACATGGGAGGCCAGTCAAGGGGCGATGTGGATGACGGTCCACCTACATCAGAGTCGTTGCCAGGGTCAGAAAGGCACCCCTATATCACAGCCACCTCCATGAGGAAGAAAAGACAGGTTATAGTTGTATGCAGCTCCCTTCTGAGGGGAACAGAGGGTCCAATATGCCGGGCAGACCCTCCTCTTAGGGAAGTCTGCTGCCTCCCTGGGGCCTGGGTGAAGGACATCACTTGGAAACCTCCCAGCCTGGTACAGCCCTCGGACTATTACCCATTACTGCTCTTCCACATGGTGACGCCACAACGCGTAGTCCAAGGGCCACCAAAAGAGACTCCAGGGCCTTGGGACGGTTGGTAAAGGAAGCTGGAGCACAGGTTGTTTTTTCTTCTGTCCTTCCAGTTGCAGGCAGTGACATTGGAAGAAACAGACGGGCCCAGTCTATTAATACATGGCCCCATGGCTGGTGTCACTGCCACAATTTTGCGTTTTTCAATAAAGGGATGGCCTACATGGCACCAGGCTTGCTGGCATCCGATGGGATTCACCTTTCTCAAAAGGGGAAGAGGGTCTTTGTTCATGAGCTAGCAGGGCTTACTGACAGAGCTTCAAACTAGGCTTGAAGGGGGAGTGAGACAATAACAGGCTTGCCCATGGCAAGCTGTGGGATGACACGCCAAGGTTAGAGGGATAGGGTGCTAGCGAGGGCCCTCAGCCTGTTGCTCTGAGACATGCTGGGCACACTGGAGCACACTTGTAAGTCTTACAGAGATGAGCCAGGGGCTCCTGAGGTAACAGGAGCCAAGAAGGAAACACCAGTGAAATACCTCAAAGGAACTAAGGAGTGTTCCTCTGAGAAGGTGACGCAGCCAACAGCCCAGCTGAAGTGCCTCTACACCAATGCATGCAGCATGGGCAACAGACAGGAGGAGCTGGAAGCCACCATGCTGCTAGAAAGCTATGACCTAGTTGCCATTACTGAAACTTGGTGGGACGAATCCCATGCCTGGAGGGTGGCTATCGATGGCAACCAGCTGTTCAGAAAGGACAGGCAAGGAAGGAGGGGCAGAGGCATTGCCCTCTACATCAAGAAAGGGATAGAGCGTGAAGAGCTGTCTCTGAAGAACAGCCACAAGCAGGATGAAAGCTTATGGGTAAGAATCAAGAGACCGAGGCAACAAAGGGAACCTTGTGGCTGGTGTTTACTACAGACCACCCGATGAAGCGGAGCCTATTGACGAAGCCTTCGTACTCCAGCAACAGGAGGCATTGCGCTCACAGGCTCTCAACCTGCTGGGAGGCTTCAACCACCCCAACATCTGCTGGAAAAGTAGCACAGTAAGCTATAGGCAATCCAGGAGACTCCTGGAATGCATTGAGAATAACTTCTTAAGCCAGGTAATAGATAGCCCTACCAGAGGGGATGCGATACTGGACCTGTTGGTCACCAACACAAGTGAGCTAATCGGTGACATCAACATTGGAGGCAGCCTGGATTGCAGTGATCATGCACTGGTGGAGTTCACAGTCCTGAGGGATACGGGTCAGGTGAAGAGTAAAGTCAGGATCCTGAATTTTTTGAAAGCAAACTTGCAGCTGTTCAAGGAGTTAGTCAATAGGACCCCCTGGGAAACTGCCCTGAGGGACAAGGGGGCAGAACAGAGCTGGCAGATCTTTAAGGACACTTTCCATAGAGCACAAGAGCTCTTGATCCCCAGGTGTAAGAAACCAGGAAAGGAAGGCAAGAGACCAGCATGGCTGAGTCAAGACCTGCTGGTCAAACTAAAGAGCAAGAAGGAAATGCACAGGCAGTGGAAGCAGGGAAGAATATAGGGACACTGCCTGGTCGTGGGCAGGGGTTGTGGGATGGGGTCAGGAAGGCCAAGGCACAGCTGGAGCTGAACTTGGCAAGGGATGCAAAGAATAATAAAAAGGGCTTCTACAGGTATGTCAGCCAGAAAAGGAAGGTCAAAGAAAGCGTACACCCCTGATGAGCAAGATGGGCAAACTGGTAACAACGGACGAGGACAAGGCTGAGGTACTCAACAACTTTTTTGCTTCAGTCTTCACTGGCAACCTCTCTTCCCCCACCCCTCAAGTGGATGGACCACAAGGCAGGGAACTGGGGGAGCGAAGTCCCTTCTGCTGTAAGACAAGCTCAGGTTCGAGACCACCTGAGGAACATGAATGTACATAAGTCTATGGGTCCCAATGAGATAACTGGCTGCTGTAGCTGCCAAGCCACTCTCCATGATATTTGAAAAGTCATGGCAGTCAGGTGAAGACCCTGGCAACTGGAAGAAGGGAGACATTGCACCCATTTTTTAAAAGGTTAGAAAGGAGGATGCCGGGAACTACTGACCTGTCAGCCTGACCTCTGTGCATGGGAAGATCATGGAACAGATCCTCCTAGAAGCTATGCTAAGGCACATGGAGGACAGGGAGGTGATTCAACATAGCCAGCATAGCTTCACCAAGGGGAAGTCCTGCCTGGCCAACCTAATGGCCTTCTATGATGGAGTGACTATATCAGTGGACAAGGGAAGAGCTACAGATATCATCTATCTGGACTTCTGTAAGGCCTCTGACACAGTCCCCCACAACATCCTTCTCTCTAAATTGGGGAAAAGATGGATTTGATGGATGGACTGTTTGGTGGATGAGAAATTGGCTGGATGGTCACATCCAGAGGGTGGTGGTCAACAGCTCAATGTCCAGATGGAGATCGGTGAGAAGTGGTGTCCCTCAGGGGTCTGTATTTGGACCAGTACTGTTTAGTATCTTCATCAGTGACATAGACAGTGGGATCAAGTGCACCCTCAGCAAATTTGCAGATGACACCAAGCTGAGTGGTGCAGCTGATATGCTTGAGGGAAGGGATGCCATCCAGGGGGACCGTGACATGCTCAAGAAGTAGGCCCATGTGAACCTCATGAGGTTCAACAAGGCCAAGAGCAGGGTCCTGCACCTGGGCTGGGGCAACCCCCAGTATCAGTACAGGCTGGGGGGTGAAGGGATGGAAAGCAGCCCTGCAGAGGAGGACTTGGGGGTACTGGTGGATGAAAAGCTGGCCATACGCTGACAATGTGCGTTTGCAACCCAGCCAGCCAGCTGCGTCCTGGGTGCATCCCCCACAGCGTGGCCAGCAGGGCGAGGGAGAGGATTCTGCCCCTCTGCTCCGCTCTGGGGAGACCCCCTGGAGCCCTGCGTCCAGCTCGGGGGTCCCAGCACAAGGAGGACATGGACCTGTTGGAGCGGGGCCAGAGGAGGCCACGGAAATGGTCTGGGGGCTGGAA